GGCTGTCCTGGAACTCACTCTGTAGACCAGGCTGGCCTCGAACTCAGAAATCCACCTGCCTCTGCCTCCCAAGTGCTGGGATTAAAGGCGTGCGCCACCACCGCCCGGCAAAAAAAGCCACTCTTGTGAGTTTGTTTTGCCTTGTGGAATAGCACCATAGTGACATCTTTGAGGTCAAAGGAGAAATCAGAATGAGCTGGTGGGTGGAGGGAAGGGCATGTGTAGGGGATACTGGCATCCAGGTGGTGCTGGCTGTAGTCCATGGGAAGGGCAGTCTATAAACTCTGAGCTGCCTCTGGAGGCCAATCCTGTGTACGAAAATGTTCACTGTTGCAGGCATACTTCCTTAGGCCATATAAGGCCCCCAGAGGTTTTCATCTTGCCCTGCCTTTGTTCCCCAGGACCCTGAGTGAGCCTAGGCAGGCAGAAATCCGGAAAGAATGCCTCCAGCTATGGGAGGTAAGTAGCCCTCTGTCACTCTAGGCCAGGAGGCTGTAGTTAACAACAGGATTGTCACCTTAATCCCCCACCCCCTAACCTGAAAGGGTGCCCAGCTCCTTGGCATGCTGCAAGTTACCTCTTTGGCTCTCTGACAGCTTGGCCAGCAGCTAGGTCAAAAGAAGACAGGTTCTGGGTAGGCTGCATTTTACCCTGATGGCCCCATATAGTGACACATGGAGAGGAGATTTGGTTTGGGTTGTGTTGACCAAGTGCCCTGACAGGGAGTGAATGCTGCTATACCTCCAGCTCCCTTGCCAGGCATATCTGCTTGCATGCCATTTCTCCTTCCCTAGCCTGAATCCATTTTTGCACATAGTGTGTCCACAAGGTACTTTAAAACCATAGCCAGAGCTGGAGAGATGGCTCAGCAGCTCAGAGCACTCTGCTCTTCCAGAGGACCTAAGTTTGTAGCACCTACACAGTAGCTCTCAACTGCCTGTAACTCCAGGTCCAGGAGCTCTGATGCCCTCTTCTGGCCTTGGCAGGCACCAGGCACACACATGTGGCACACAGACACACTGTCAGGCTCCAGGCA